GACGTCGTCAGGTACTTCTTGTTGCTGCCTTCAGCAGGTTCAGCCATAGGGGCTCGCTCTTAACACTAGGGATTTGGGATTGGGTTTGGGGTTTAGAGTTTTTTTTGTTAAAGTGCAGTAGCCCTTCTTTCTCCTGCCGAGGCTCGCTCCTATTGGAGCTTGCACTGTAAAAAGGGACCAGCAAATGGGGGTTTAGAGTTTAGGAATCAGGGTTTGGGTTTTAAGGTTTAGGGTGTAGTCGTACAGGGCGACATTTGGAGTCCCGGGTCTCGGGCTTTAGGGAAGGATGTTGTTTCGGGCTTAGGGTTAGGGTATAGTTAGATTGTGTAGACGTTCTGTAGGGTTGCGCTTCACTTGCCCAATTCTTCGGTACTTCAGGCTAAAATTAGGGTTGTTTCGGGCTAGGTTGTAGTGGACTTGCATGCTCAAAGAGGGGCAGCGGATCCAATGGCAGAGAACTGTAGATGCTGTTCACGTAGGATGTGAGGTTGGGGTTCAAAGGTTTTTGTCCCCGAAGACATACGATATATATATATATATATATATATATATTATATATATATATATATATATGTATAATGTACACATACATAAACATATACCCAAACATACATATATAATTACATAGGGCCTTCGGGCTAGTTTGAGCTTTAGGAATAGGGGTTATAAGGCTCATGTTCAAGCGCCCCTGGAGCTCGAAACTCTGAAGGGGTTGATCCCAAGAGTAGATACCTTCTTATATGGCTTTTACTAGTGTTCGTATTGTTGCTGTTGTTTCTGTTACTATTGCTATGGGTATAATTATGATGATTAGTAACACGGTTATTCGGTTTTAAAGCTGATTACGGCTTAATGCTTTTCCTTCTGCTCGAACAGGCCACACGACGAAAACACGAACTGTGTTTTTATCTTTAGAGCAAGCGTGTGCCAGAACAAACGCAGCAGATTTGCTGGCACGAGTGGCTAGGTAAACATTTCTCGTGAAGACGACGACCGTTTTTAAGGACCCAAAAGAAGGCTGCACACCGTACAAACCAGGACCCTAAAAGGCACCCTAAAACCCTATAGAACCCTTACAGCCCCCATATAGAAGCCCTTGTAGATCCTTTTAAGGAACCCTAAAAAGGGACCCTAATTCAGACAACTATGCCATAGTTGTCTAAATTAGGGTCCCTTTTAGGGTTCCTTAAAAGGATCTATAAGGGCAAGCTTGAATTAGGGTCCCTTTTAGGGTTCCTTAAAGGGATCTTTAAGGGCACGCTGACAAGAGCTAGGCCAACGAAAGCTCCAATCGGATCAGACCGCCAGTCCTTGAGGGAACCAAGCACCCCAACAAAAAGGAAGCAAGATCATTACAATAGGGGGTTTAGGGTTTAGGGTTTAGTACTAAATTTAGGGTTTAGGGTTTAGGGTTTAGTACTAAGTTTAGGGTTTAGGGTTTAGGGTGTAAAATAGTAGCAGGCAGAATCATTTTTTGGGAATGAATGGTAAGTATTTAGGCCGCTGGATTGGAAGGAAAATCAATAAGTTTCTTGTCACCGGGCGTACTGAACGGGTAGTTTTCTAAATTAGAGTCCCTTTTGGGGTCCTTCTTTAAGGGTGCCGTACTATATTGGGCAGCTAAAAAGGGAACCTCATTTAGAGAACTACCCGAATGCACGAAACCGAGTGGGATGCCTCGACCCATCAGAGGGACCGCGTCAGCTAGGGTTTAGGCTTTAGGGTTTAGGCAGACTTGAGGAATACATGGGGCCATCAACAGGAGTGCTTCTCCATGATATTGCCCTAGTACCTGTCAACTCCATTTAATTAAACCTAAAACCCTGAAGAGCCCTTGCGCAACACTTCGAAAACCTCAGAACTACCGCAGAACCCTTCTTCAAGCCACTATACAAACCCACCGGGCCCCGCGCATTCTGTGGCATAAGTGTCACTGATGCATCTCCTTAGGGTTTCAGGGTTTAGGGGTTTAGGGTTTCAGTGTCATCGAGCTATAGGCTTCAGGGCTGTAGGCTTTAGGGCTCAGGGTTGTGGTTTGACTTAATTTTGTTTCCAGGCCTGAATGATCTTGGAGTTTCGAGGTGGGGCCTGCAAAATACTTGAAGTAAGATGATTATACGAGTTTTTGAAGGTTTCAGACAGCCGACTTATTCATTAAAACAGGCCGAGAGAGTATATGATTCATTGCAAGCGCCGTGAGAAGTGGGGCGTTTCGGGCATGTTACAGCAGATTCTACAAAATACATAGGCATTCATCATTCACTCTGGCTTTGGGATGCATTATAGTGGACTTGAGTAAAGACGTAAATACCGACTATTCAGGCTCTTGGGGTTTTAGGGTTTACTGTAGCCTTATAATTAGAATAGGGTTTTGGGCTCCATTATAGTCTTACTATATTAAGGAACCCTAACAGATCCCCTAAGGGGGGTCCTATACAGTACCCTTTAGTAGTTAGGGTCCCCAATTAGGGGATCTACTTTTTAGATCCTTCCGGGGGTCTGGGTTGCCATCCTTGGCGAGCTTTGACAGAGAGACAGCACCTTTGCCACTCAGTGCCACACCAGCCTCATGTTCAGAAGGAACCCGTGCCAGACCCTGAAGAACAATCTCCTTGCCCGTGGTCGCCTCGCTCGGCTCCGAGAACGTTCCCACTTCAAAGATGAATGAAGCTGGCCAAGCTTGCCCTTCAGATTCGTGGAGCGCTCGGGTCCCTGAAAAGTGGACCGCCGCACCAAATACGAGGCATGTTCTTGGAAACTCACCATCCTAATCCCTAAACACTAAACTCTTAACCGGGCTCTTGATTAAGATTGGCTTCCGAGCAATCTGAGCTGTTTTGAGTTTGGTGCTCAGTCTACAGGACAGTCTTACAGTCTTTGTTCTTTCGCGAACACCTTAAACTCCAAAAGCCGAACCTTGAACCCAAAATTGCCTAATCTGCCCTGAGTCCGGAAGCCCTGTATAAATGACGACCAAAACGCCAAACCCTAAACCCAAAGCTACACCCCGTATAGCTTGCATCCCTAGCCCATACCCAATCCCCAAAACTTAACTCCGAAAATTTCACCACTACGCCCGAAAATCAAAACCTTATACCCACACCCCTAGACTTCCCCCTTGAAACCCAAAACCTAAGCCCTAAGGGTTAGGGTTTAGGGTATAGGGTTTAGGGTTTAGGGTTTAGGGGTTTAGGGGTTTAGGGGTTTGGGTTTAGGGTTTAGGGTTTAGGGCTTAGGGCCTAAACCCTACACCCAAACCCCTAAACATGAGCCCCAAGCTATACATGATCGAAACTTACGGCCAAGGATCTTCACGTCCTGCGGACAGGGAGGACCTCGGCCGTTCTTGGAGTCCAGATTAGGGTTTAGGGTTCAGGGTTTTAGGGTTTAGGGTTTAGGGTTTAGGGAGTCTAGATTAGGGTTTAGGGTTTTTGGTTTGGGTTCGAGGATTGCTTCTTTGTCTATAAGGACTCCAGCTGCCCGAATAGTTATGTTTTCCAAGCTTTCATGAGTTTACTGATAGGATCCCCGAAAACCTAAGAAAAAAAAGTTCCCTTTTTGCATTGGGTAGTCTTGTAAGGAACCTAACACTATAGACTCTAAACCCTAGATCCTAAAGGGGCACTCTTGCAACCTCGGGCCACAAAACCCTAAGCCTCGAAACCCTACCGAAGGAACACAACATGGGAGAGCTAGGCATCATGGGCTCCACGGCTCCGTTTGCAAGCGGGGGTTTGGAGTTTTTGCTTGGGGATCTTAGGATTTAGGGTTTAGGGTTTAAGGCTTTAGGGTTCTAGGGTTATTGATTGGGGGATCTTGGAATTTGGGGTTTGAGGGTTTTGGCAATGCACGAGAATGTAAGCATAAACAGAACATGTTCGAGACAGCCCAGGGACAGGTGTTGCCTATCTCCTTGATGCCGTCACGATAGGTACCATCCGGACAGGTGTACTCGCCTCAGCAGAGCTCATGATGCGGCGCTTGTTTCATTTAAGGGTTGGGCTTAGCGATGTAAGTTTCCACAAAGAGAGGATACCCTAAACCCTAAACCCCCAAACCCCCATAGGGTTTGGGGAATAAGTTACTAAAATCCGAAGACCCTGCTCTACAGTACTACTAGGCTTCTGGATTATCTAGCATCCATGGGCTTGTGAATGCAACCTGATAGGGCTTCGGATGATTTGAGGCGTAATCCTGAGGCTTTGGCTTTAGGGTTTAGGGTTTAGGGGTTTAGGGGTTTAGGGTTTTAGGGTCTAGGGTTTACAGGCGGTTTTGGACATGGGCCTCTGTTTCCGGTGAGACTTTGGCAGCTTCCTGCACGTCTGGAGCTCCCGCGCTACTGAATTTCGTTTTTTGATCTAAGAAAGACGGACTTTTACGACCGCACTCGCTACTGAATTTCAGCGTTCGGGGAGGTTCTTTAAGCTAGTAACGGTGTCAGCAATCCGAATGAAACACAAATCCAGCATCTAGGCTCCTATGTTTGGTCTAAGATGCAGGACCTCGAACAGGATTTTCTGCTGCTCTGCTATGGCAAGGCCGTGTGTGGGAGCTTCATCCAGCGACTTGCGGAACGTGGCACCAGAGATTCGGAGTTTGAAGCAACCCCAACCCCTGGACCGACAAACATTAAACCCATGCAAGCTTCAAACTCTCGACACTTGTAACGCTTGCCCAGAACCCCCATCTCGTTAAGCTCCCGAGGTTGAGGCATGTGTCATCCTTTACAACAGTGTAGGGTTTCGGGTTCTGGATCGGATCAAGTTTGGAGCCGTACGGTTTGGGCACCATTTCCAGACATGAACAAATGCTAGCCCTGCAAGCAGCTATGGCCGTCTTAAGGCATTAGGGCTTTAGGCTATAGGGGGTTGATGGGTTAAAAACCCCTAAAACCTAATATAGGGGCCTCAATAATTAGAATATTTTGGGAACTGTTTAGGCCCCTACATTAAACCCTCAGTGGTGTTTAGGGCCGCCTAGTCTTTCGGCAGCCAGGGTGCACTTCTCATCCGGCGTGAGGAACGTAAAGTTCTGACACAGCGTGCACTGCTCCTGACCTTGCTCATGCCACAGCTTCGCAATCCCCTAACCACAAGGCTCTGAGGACTCATATTTGAAGGCTTTTGGGCCCAAATAATTACTATAATACATAGGGCTTTTGTGCCATTTTGAGCCTTTTGCAACTTACATGGCGACAAACCGTGCCCTAAACCCTTAACCTTGAACCCGAAGCCGGCCCTGAGCCCTAAGAGCCCAAGATCCAGGCCCTACACCCCGCCAAAGGAGAGAAGTGTTATTTGTTAGTAAATGCTGTTATGGATCATTCTTCTTGTTGTGACTATTACTAGTAATAGTCTTATTATTACAATGCTTCTTTCTTAATATTATCAAAGTCCTTCATCTTACAGGTCGAGGAAGCCTCCAGGGCAACAGGCCAAGCAATGACAAGCCTGAACTAGAGGATTTATGGTTTTTAAGGGCCTGTAGAAGCCCGAAACTCTAAACCCCTAAACCCGTAAACCCTCGACCCCTAAACCCTGAAGTCCGAAACTCCATCGCCCTATACGCAGCTCGCTTGTCGCTTGTTCACACCACAAGTTTCCCAGTGTAGCGAACAATCAGCACATAAAGTTGGGTACTGCCCCCATACAGTAACAGTCTAGAATAGGGCTACTATTCAAGGCCTAATATATCCATAATACAACTGAGTGGGGGCAGTACCCAATGTAAAATGGTATACCATGAGGGCCCAGTAGATAGGCTGACACTCCAGCACCAAAGCAGGAACCACTTGAAGGTCAATGCAAATGCTCTATAGGCATGTATGTATCCCTAAGTGAAAAAAGAATAGCCCATGCCAGCTCCATCGGAAAGTAGACCAAGGCTACAACAGCACGAGGTGCATGACTCTTGCGGTTTAGGGGTTCGGGAAGCTAGGGTGATGGTCTTGCACCAAGCGACTGAGGCAGTTGAAGCACGTTGGCGGACACGCTTTGCAAAAGCGCCCGATGTCCTGCCCGTCTTGCGACTGTTAAGCTGCTCTCGGCCGGTGAACCCCCCTAAACCCTGAACCCTACCAGAACCCCCCAGGTGCCCTTCAGTAGAGCCCTTATGGTCCTTAATAGTGGGCATTTAGTGCATGTTGGAAGGTAGTTGGGCGGGTCTAGGTAAGAATTTAGGTTCGGGGGCAGTAGTTTTGCAGCACAAGACATCAGATGAGGAATTTACATTCGGATACCGAAGGTGCGCAGATTTCCGTTGTTTTAGCGTTTCTTGCTTTTGGCCAGAAGCTCTTCTTCACACCCAGCATTTACGCTTGGGACTAGCCAGAAAAAGCTTGGTGGTACAGCATGTTACTAGGGGGAATACTGCACGAAGTCTAATTTACGAAATATCTCAGACCCCTTTAGCCCCAGATTAGTTCCCTCAGTGACTGGCGGCGGACACAGAGGAGTGCACGAAATTGATTTATCAGAGCACTCGCGGAACACAGCTGGGCGGCCTTGTTAGAATGCTCTGAAACCCTGAACCCCAAAACCCCAAACCCCAAAACTCAAACCCCTAAACCCAACACTTCCAAAACCCCAACAAGCCCTAAACCCCGAAGCCCCTACGCCCCTAAACCCCTACACCCCAGAAGCCCTGAGGGAGGCCTGGTGTTGAAGGTTGGGGGGTTTTAATAGAGCCCCTTATGGTCTCACAGTGGATATACGGTTTAGGGGTTTAGGGTTTAGGGGTTTAGGGGTTTAGGGTTTTAGGGTTTTTAGAGTTTTAGTGTTTTAGGTTATGGTCCTTAATAGTGGATATTCACCCAGACTACCGGGAGGATCCAAAAATTAGATCCCCTAAAGGGGTTCCGATAAAGCATCCTGTTACTTAGGGTCCCAAATCAGGACATCTACGTTTTAGATCCTCCCGGTGGCCTGGGTAGTAGGGTGTAGCGGTTTAGGGTTTAGGGTCTTTTTTAGAGGGTAGTAGGGGGGGGTCTAGGTAGGGGCCTGAGAGAATACTGTATAGAATATTTCTTTCTAGTACGGAATCCATTCAGGCCCCATGCTGTATCCTAAACCATGAACCCTCGGTAGTTTTCTAAATTAGGGTCCCTTTTTACTTGGTGTGCGCCTCGACCCTCCCGAAAATTTTAAGGGATCTGGGCCTGGGGTGAAGATGAAATACATGTTGATGTTGCAGATGATGTTGGGGCCCATGAGTAAACCTGATGAACCCATGATGAGGATGAGTCTAAGGGCCTGGAGAGCCTGCTGGGCTGGGGACATGTTGGATCATAAGCCAGGGGCCCTTAAACCTTTACCCTTAAAAACCCTACACCCTAAACCCCAGCCCTCTGAGTCCCGACCTCACGCTCACCGGAGTTGCTGATGTCGAATAGCGGTTTAGGGTTTAGGGTTTAGGGTTTCGGCACAAGCTCAGCTCTGCTTAGGAGAAAATTTAAGGGCTGGCCTTGCACCGTCGCATCTGTACATCTGCAGTCATGTTGTGGCGGGCTCAATATGCCGCAGGTGCATGTGACCTTGCACGTGCTAGTCAGCATCATCCGCAGACTCCCCGGCCCTTACGTTAAATGAAAGACAACGTTGATTCATGGAACCTGGGAGCCCGGGAACCTGGGAGCTTGGGAGCCTGGGAACCTAAAAGCCAAACCAGTCAACGAAGTTGAAGATCGCTCAGCGCAGCCGGGACCTGTGCGGGACCGGAAGCGCATGCTTGCTAGATTTGGCCCTGCCGCTGTCCCTGGCTCTCAGCATTTGCGCGCCAACCCCTAACCCCATTCTGAACCTTGGACGCCCCCCGGCGACCCTTGCTTGCCTCTCCCAAGTAAAGTAGAGCAGCCAAGGGTGCCCAAGCACCGACCAAGGGTCACAAGCCTGGGCTTGTGGCTCGCTCAGGGGTTGAGGGAATTTAGGTTTTAGGGAAAGCAAGCCAAGCGGTCAGGAATGCAGCATGCCCGGCAACCCTAACTAACATCCTCAGTCGAAGCCCCTCACACAAACAAGAAATCCCAAAAAACATGAACAATCCCCGACTGAAGGCTGTGTGTTCCCAGGCACGTTAGCAAAAAAACGTCTCAGCAGCTGCCAGACTCCAGGGGGCGACCACCTGCAGCAGCAATGAAATGACATTGGAAAGCATGCCCGTGCTGCAGCAGGCTGGAATAAGCAGCTTCAAGTTCCATTTTTACCGCGGCCCAGGCGTGCTGTCTGGCTGACATGACCTGCCCTCTGTCGGTGGGCGATCGGATGCCAACAGCACATATGGCTGCTATTCTGGAAATTTTGAATGTGGCAGGCTTGACCAAGGCAAAAATCCCAGCACGATGGACGCATGATTGCAGGATAGTAAGCCTAAGAACCTGGGGCCTGGGAGCCTGGGAGCCGGGGAGCCTAGGGGCCCTTGCAGCAGTGCACTGCTCCGCGCTTCAGTCCTGGTACCCGGAACTGGATGACATCTGAGCGCGGGTAGTCCTCATGGCCATGTCCAGGTTCCTGCCCCAGCGGCCACACCGAGCCAGCACCAACTCGTATGGCCGGCCAAGGGCGTCCGCCTCGCGAACGAACTTGAGGAATATCGGTATGTTTTTCCACGTCAAGGCACGCTCCTCGAAATATCAAGTTAATGTATAGTCCGTCAAAGTCAAACCATTTTGTTCCAGCTAGCAGAGAGCATTGGGTTTGCTAAGAACCTTACATTACAGGAACAGCAAGACTTAGGCCAAGTGTCCAACCAGTAACCATCGAGGAAGAGGCCAAACTCGTCGGCGTCATCCCCCAAGTAGCCAAAAGTGCAGTCCTTCTTCTTGGTGAAGTTGAAGTCTTGCAGGGATTCGCCCAAGTCACCAGCCAGCCGCTCCACCTGGATCGTGTGGGTTGGGGTCACGAACTTGCGGCTGCTGACCTGTGCATTCACTTGGCGGAAGGCGTAGAAAAAGCCATTGTCGGTTGCCCAAAGGGAACGTCGTCCTCCTGGCGCCTGGTTAAACTCCGTGGGGTGGTCGGATGGCAACGCTGCAACGAACTTCTGGAAGCCAACCGGCAATTTGTTCGTGCTCTTGAACAAATCCCCCCGCCTTGGCTGCTGCCATGATGCAGGGAACTTGTCCCTGCTACAACACAAAGGACACATCGTGCACAGAGGACAGCCGCTCACAAACATTGACATGCGCCACGCAGTCTGCTAAGACTTCGCAGCCCACTCACTCAATGTCAAAACTAACAGTAAATACACCAAAGCCATTCACTAGGCGGTCAAGCTGCTGCATGAACTGATTCGTGTATGCGGGGATCACCCCGCATGCCTGCAACTTCGTCTCGACGTCCTTGGTAAATCGCTCCCGCACGAATCCATCCTCAACAGCATTCTTGTTCCTGTACTCGATACTGTTGAACGACTCGCTGGAAATGGCGGCCGGGGCTTGGCGGTGCACCTTCGCGAATCCGCAACGTGTAAGGAAGGCAGTGGCAAAGGCCAACACGTCACTGGCATACATCGAAATGGAAAGCAAGAGCTTGTCGTAGGCATCCACCGGCAGTGCCCACCCAGCCCACACGGGCTCCGAAGGCTTAGCTGTTGCTTCATCAGACTGCATGCCCACGCTAATTTGCACGCCCTTTCGAATCACAAGATTGATCATACTGACGATTTGGGAAAAACAAATCAGTGCCGAGACACATATCGCTGTAGCATGCAACCGCGGGCTGCGCCGTTGGCTATGTAGGGGAAGAGGATAACCCGGCACTGCCCAGGGTGGGCCAAGAACTGGTCCAGTAGCTCTCTGATACAGCATGCGACCTGAGCTACTTTGTCCCTGCTACACAACCTCAGCTAACAACTCCAAGACAGAAGGGACCTCAGCTACTTACCACTTCGCTGCTTGCATTGTCAAGAGGCCACAGCGAACTGGGGTGGCGTGCCCATGGCTGGCGGCATCTGCTTGGCGATGTCTTGGAGCTTGCCCAGAAGCTGGTTGTCATCCCAGCGAAAATCTGGGCGGGCTGAGTTGCACATACTGTCTTTGCCGAGGTGATTAAGGGGTGCTGTTAGAATATCTTCAACACAAACCTGGGAACAGGCAAGGGGCAGGCCACAATTTCACAGTCTTCTGCAAATGACCCATCTTTGAAGAACGAGCTCTTGAAAGCGTTGAAACCAGACAGCGCCCAAGTGTAGTGCTGACTCGTGTCATAGCGCTGCTGCAACAGCTCGGGAGCTTGATGCAAATGCCTCGGGCCACTGCCATTGGTGATATCATGATAAAGCTACGTCTAAATACTAGCCACTTAAACCATCTGATTACAGCTTAGTCAAATTAATAAGTTACAAACCGACACCAACATAGCTGGGCTGAGATTCTTGTCTTAATTCAGGAGAATGACATGTAGTGGGATTGGATCTCAATGGCTTTGAAGCGCAGGATCTGGGGCTTCACCATTGACAGCATTACGGGGGGGAGCTCGATGGTCTCCTTGACCGCCACAGCCGACACCCCCGACTCCGACGTCTCGCCGCCTGTGCCCGTTCAGGTCTCGGGCGTGACCATCATCGTGGCCATCATGGCCTGTGTCGGGGCCTCCGCCGCTGTGGCCGAGCTCGAGGAAGCCGCCTCTTCAACGGTGCTGTCAATCCTGAGCTTCAAAGCGACCATGCTGATGCGAGGCCAGGCGGGGAGAGCCGTGGAGCCGAGGTGCCAGGGCGCCACTCAGAGCCAGGAATTGCTGCAGCAGTCGTTGTGCTGCGCTCCATGCTAAGAAAAAGGCAATATCACTGTAACTCTGTAATTGTCAGACAATCTTGAAATTCCTGCAACGCAACGTCAGACCCCGCCGGGCCCGCCTCTGCTCGTCAGCTGCGCCAGGTAAAGCCGTGGGGCCGTTGGTACGTGGGAGCCTCGGATCCTGGAGCCTATGGCGGCATCAGGTTGGAGGTGAGCCTGGAGTCTTGGAGCCTTGGAGCCTCAACAAACACCATTAAATTAAAAATCCCCCAAACCGCCCGCACCAAGTTTAGGTCCCCAATAAAAAGGGACTTTATTTAGAGAACTACCCATATTCATGCTGAAACCCTAAACCCTAAACCCCAAAACCCTAACCCCCAAACCCCTAAAACCCTAAACCCTATATGGCAGTTTCCAAAAATTAGGGGTACCTTATTTGGGGGTCCTTATAATAAGGATCCTACTATTTGGGGTACTATATTAGGGTCCCCTATTTTCGGAAACCCCTATATATTCATGCTGAAACCTAAACCCTGGGGGTCCTCAGAGCCCTCGAAGTGGTAGCGGTCGGGGCATTTGTACTCGCAGGCACCTCCAGCCGGCACCATGCCCTTAAGGGTCCTTTTAAAGGCCTAAGGAAGGGTTTAGGGTTTAGGGTTTAGGTTTAGGGTTTAGGGTTTAGGGTTTATAAGGGTTTTCATATTAGGGGCCCATACTTCTAACCTTACAATGTCAGGTAACGCTTCGCACGGTTTAGGGTTTAGGGTTTAAGGCTGTCGCTTTGAGGCAAATATAGGGTACGATGTAGGAGTTCAGGTTTGGGATGTCTTTGATTTGTGGCTACGGGTGACTTTACAAGTATCTTCGTCAGGGATAGCCCTAAACCCTAAACTCTGTGACATCTTGTTTAGCGAAAAGTGCAAACATCCGTCAGAGTCTGGACATGGAGCCTTAGGGCTCCAAGTGTACACACAAATTGATAGGTCTTCTCAGTTGCTGAGCGCACAAGCCCCCACAAAGTGTACACTTTCAGTTCTATAGGGGATAACCTAAACCCTAAACCCTAAACTGTAAGACTATCCCAAAAAGTGTAAAGTGTATTCACTCAGATAGTATGTCTCAAACTTTCTCCCCTGAACCCCTAAGTCCTAAAACATGGTACAGTAGTAATGTAGGGGCCTTAATAATTAGACTAGGGTTCTGGGGCCCTTTTTACTACATTTACAATAAGGAACCCACCCACAGAGTAGAGGAAATTACCGAGGCCCCTTTTCTACGTACTAAACCCTAAACCCTAAACCCTAAACCCTAAACCGTTTTACGTACTTTGGGCTACTTTGAGTCTCAGGGCAAGGCTCATGAAACACGAGAGAGGCCCAAGGGCTCTTGAGGAGATTCCAGACACTTTCATGGAGATGCCAAGGTCAAGTTCAGCCGCATTTTAGGGTTTAGGGTTTACGGTTTGATCTGAGTCGGTTTTAGGGTGAAGGGCAGTGCCTAGGGCTCGAAATAGCCTCAAAGACTGAATCAGTATGATCTTGAAGCCGAAAACCCTTCAAACATGAGTCCTTAGAGCTATTTCAACTGTTCGACCGTGAACTGTAAACCCCCTAAACCCTGAAGTGAACCCCTAGCACCACCAAAACCTGAAGCCCCAAAAGATCTCAAATCCCTTGGCCCATAATCAACCCCACCAGCAACCCAAAGCACGAACAACAAAAATCCCACAACATCTTGCAGCCACGGAGCCCGAACCCTTAAAGTCCGGATGCCCTGCACCCAAACACCAAGCTAACACGCCCTAAACTGTTTCTTGAATCAAAAGCTTTTGAGCTCCAATCCCTGAACCTTAAATCCTCAACCCCACCTAGAGTAACCAATGTATCTTGCGAAAAGGGATATGGCCCTAAAAGATTGGTGCAATTACCTCCTTTTTAAGGTACCTTGGTTACTGAGGGCAACCCCCAAGCCCTCCGAACGCAAAAACTGATGGCGGCCTGTCGGTGTGAGATACGAGGCTTCCGCGCATTCCGTGCACACGTTTGCGGTCTCGCAAAGGTTGCATGGCGACGGACACCTAGGGTCTTCGAAACTCTCTCAACCCTAAACCATGGACACTAAGCCCTAAGTGCTAAACACCGAACCTACCACCCTACATACCAAATCCTGGCTTAAACATGAAACCCTATAAACCCTAAACCCTAGCATCACTGAGCCTCAAAAGCGTTAACTCCTGAACCCCAAATGCAAAACCTGAACTCCAATCGATTTTGTGGTGCGGATGAACACTCACCATACATACCGCAACCCCCACGGAAGACTTGTAAATCCCTGGATAACTTACTTGCTCAGTCCCCTGATCTGTTAATTTAAAGTAAGGTTGGACAAAACCCGGCTCAACCGCTGGAGAAGCCAGAGGTAGAATGGCAAAATGCAGTCAAGAGTTTATTGCTTTACGGTTTGCGGTCCCGGGCTCAGGGTTTAACAACCTCCTCGATTGTGCCTATGAGCTTCAACGAAGACTGTCAAATGTCATGTATTGGAAAGTTGGAAAGTCTTGAGCTTCAAAGCAACAAGTGCTGGTGCCTGGGTGATAAGCCCCTGCATTCGCACTTTCGCATAACCCTACATACCTGTAGTATAGGTTTGATACGTATCGTAGAGTATAAATAAATATACTTGTACTATAGTCAAGATACCAGTATGGGTGTGCAAGGGAAAGACGTTGCACGCTAGGCCGCGGAGCGCTCCAGATGCATCTAGGGTGCCGGTTGCAGCCACCGCCGATGCTGTCGGTGCCGTTCTCATAGTATCCTAAGGTTGGGTTTCGGGTCCAGCAGTGAGGCGCGATCTGCATTTTGCAGGTTTGGAGTTTACGGCTTTTGGAAGGTTTCGTCAGAGTTTGGGACCCGAGCTCAATCGAGGTCTAGTGTGCAAAGCTGACTGACTTTCGAGTGTGACACACTGGAAGCATCTTAGAACACCTACATTAGCAGCATGCTTTAAACCGGAACAGGAAAGAACCTACCTTTTTAACGGGTTCCTTATTATTGTTTAGGGCCTGGGGTAACTACTTCAGCTGAAACATACCCCAGCGTTTTTAGCTTAAAGCTAAGGCTACCACGTACCAAACACTGATGCACCCCGTAATGGGTAACCTATGGTTCTACGACGCCCTCAGATTCAAGTACCTGCCCCTAAACCCTAAACCTCTAAACCCTAAACCAAAAACCGTAAAATTATCGGAACTTGGGACTTGGGGTACCCGGAAAAGCGATTTTGTCCGGTGCTTCCAAGCTATTCCTGTCTGTTTAGGGTTTAGGGTTTAGGGGGTTTAGGGTTTAGGGTTTAGGGTTTAGGGTTGGCCTAGCAAAACAAATGACAACCTACGAGTCTTCAAGCAAGCCGAAACGTGAACTGCCTCTCCTGTGCTCTTCGAGGTTTAGGGTTTAGGGTCGCCTGGGTTGAGGGGCTTACGGTTTAGCTGCGGTAAGAAGACCATTGAAGGGAACCCGACTCAAAAGCTTGACTTTTAGCGTTTAGGGTTTAGGGTTTAGGGTTTAACCTAAACCCTAAACCCTAAACCCTAAACCCTAAACCCTATATCCTAAACCGTCTCTTATCCCTGCACAAGGAAGACCCAAGCACTCGAACGGTTAGCTGTGGAGTGGGCTCCACCCAGATGACCACAGCCTGGCAACCCCTAAATTACTGTAAGGCTCGAAAAATGTTTAGGGTTTAGGGTTTAAGGTTTAGGGTTCAGGGTTTAGGGTTTAGGGGCTCGAAAAATTTCCAACACTATTCCTCAGAGTTCCTGTTACAAGTATAAATATAATCTACATGAAAGCCCTGTTTGTTCACTATTCAAGCCTGTATGTTGGGCTTCTGAGGGTAGAATGACCCCCCCCCCCCTCAGTCGCCGCTGAGAATCCATTGGGGCACTCCGATCGGCACTGGTTGTATTCCGTGAGGTGCGTGAAGCCCCGGCAGACTGTACACTCCTTCGGGCTCACTTAGAGGGTCGGGGGACTCAGTAAGTAGTCATGTTTGTGGAGCTATATGTATCCCAGCCCCAACTAATAAGGATCCCTTGTAGGGTGCTTATAATTCTGCCTATTTCCCAAATACTACGGTAAGTCCCCCGACTCTCCAAGCATGGTCTTAGGAGGCTCTCGAACGTCTACAGTGTTGTCCCTGAAAGGAAAACAGACAAGACCCTATGCCCTAGCCCTTTAATAAAAACTCATACATAAGTCACCTTGAGCGATGTGTCTATCCTCCATAAGCGGACCTCTGGAAAGGACAACCCTGCATGTCACTTGCAGTTCTGTTGACTACTGACTGTACGATTCAGCAGTCTACCTGTAGCTCCAAACACCATCTGCAATAGCCGGCTATGACCCTTTAGTTACAAGGTATATTTCTTCAAGAAGCATGTAAAGAAAGGCACCATGTTCCAAACAACCTAAAACGTGTACTTTAAGTTGCTTTGCCTGAGCTCCATAAACTCTAAACTGCACCCGCAGTGGAGTCCAGTTAGGGTGTAATGTTCAACACTTTACATCCTCCTTTGGTGCCGGTTCGGTTGCATGAAGTAGCGACAGCGGGTTACGTTACAATCTCCCTGAGGGTTAGAAGCCAGTTGGCTTCACGCAAACAGGCAATAACTAACACTTAAGCATGATAGCAATGATGATGCAAGACGCCGAGTACCGTAAGATACGCTAAGCCACTCCATAGTAGTTAAAAAATAGGAATACGTCACGCGGGGCTGCACAATGATTCCCAAAACAGGCGACATATTCCTGAGCACTTGCGAGAATCTCGATGGGACGAAACATTCGGACTAGCTTCAGCAATGTACCTTGGTTTCGGGGTACTGGGCTCTCTGCCAACCCTGAAACCATCTGGAAGCCTACCCCTTTAACTACCAACTACCAATTGGCCATAAACCCTAAACCCTAAACCCTAAACCCTAAACCCTACCCCTTAACTACCAACTACCTATTGGCTCTCAAAGGCTCTACGCCCTTGAACTAAGGATCCTTGCATAGTCAGTGAGCGTTAAACCATTCTACGCGACATCTCGTCATCAAGAGCCCCTTTGTTGCAGGGTATTCTTGGGGGCCGGGCTGATTAACAATAGTATTAACTTAAAGTCTCTGTTCTGACAAACTATGACTATACTTTGACATACCCCACCACCCTATCGTACTTACTAAAGCCCGATTGCAACATCGTATAGAACCCTTGGAAGAGAACCCTTAGCCCTTATCGACCTCTGGTAAGGAACCCCTTACCTAAACCGATGCAGACGACCATTCTTCTTCTAAATACTAAGGCCCCCGTATATTAGTGGGGTCCGCCGCTAGAAAATTCCAGATGCCGCTTATGGATCCATTCTCGAACTCTTCTAGATGCATGTCTAAACCCTTTACGAAACCATTAAACAAAAAAGCGTGTAGACCCCGTTTAAGGAACCATGAAACAACTCCATTCGATACAAGCCCCTATAGAATTGGGCTGTTTGGCAAAACCTAAACCCTAAACACTGGACCTTGAACCATTTCGAATTACTACGGCCCCAAAACTGTAGCCCTCCTAGTGCTGTTTAAGAACCCTATGATAGAACCCGTAAGAGCCCCCTTAGCATTGGGTTCTCTGCGAGTCGCCTCGGCGCTGTTGCAGGCGTGGCAGTTCTCCGGGCACATGGGGCAGGTGCCGCCCACCTCGGAAGCTCCCTAAACGGGCGCTTGAGTTCGGGGTTTAGGGCTTGGGTTTAGGGTTTAGGGTGTAGGGCTTAGGTTTTTGGGCTTAGGGTTTTGGTTAGGGTTTAATAGGGTTTGGGGTTTAGGGTGTAGGGCTCAGTCTTCAGAATTCAAGGTTTCGTGTTCATATCGGACCTAGGGTTTAGTTTGGGCTTCGGGCTTAGAGGGTTGAGGATCCTGGGAAGCTTCTCTAAATGTCCTTTCACCCAGAGAATCTCAGAACCCAAAGCCCTTAAATAAAGAACATATCTTAAATCATCCTATTCAGGCCCCTAGATTTAAGGTCTACTCCTCAATTAAGGGGTGTTGGGCTCTCCCGCGGCCTCACGAGGGGAGGCTTTCTAGGGCTTTGTTGTTAAAGGAAGCTACAAGGAGTTTAGGGTATATAGGGCTTCTATAAGGCTTCTATATAAGGTATATAGACCTTCTATAAGGCTCCTATAACAGTAACTACTCACCTGAAAATGTCCTAGATGTTGCTTTGCGTAGGGTTGTTGGCAACAAAATCAGCCCTAAGCCCTAAACCCTAAACCCACACAAAGTTGTTTAGGGTTTTGTGTTGACGAGGTTGTTGTGGGCTTTGAAGGGCTCTCGGGGCTCTAACGAGCGTTTAGGGGTCTAGAGTATCCGAGTGCACCTGGAGGAGATCCTGACCCAAGAGGGAAGTGCAACCCTGTGGCTGCTTCAAGCTTCCGGGACAGGTAGGGTTTAGGGTTTGACTAACCCTAAACCCTGAGCCCAACTCTGACTGTGGCTGCCCCTAGTAGGCACCTACTTTACAACGATGTTGCGCTGAGCGAGACCGAAGAGTTCGTGATATCTGCTATGGCTATGGATGTTCGTACGACATCGGAGCAAGATCCACGCCAAAGCATAAGCCGATATCCGGGCCTCAGAGCTCAAACTGATGGCGGAAAGGTCACTAAACCCTAACATAAGCCCTGAACCCTAAACCCTGACCCAAAATCCTAAAGCTAGTTAGAAGGCCCGAATCTCCAAAGCCACAAAGCAAAGCCAGGCCGCCCCCCCGGTGCCGTCCAGGGCATAGTGACCCTCTGGACAGGCTTCCTCGCACCAGCCGTTGGGCGTGAGGAAAAGGCCTGGGCCAAGGCTAAGTGTAGCTTTTCTAGTGGGTTTAGGGTTTAGGGTTTAGGGTTTAGGGTGTAGGGTTTAGGGTGTAGGGCTTAGGGTTTAGGGCTTAGTGTCTAGAGGGTTATATAAGCTTTGTTTCCCCAATAAGCCAGGGAAATAAACAGTTAAACGTTCGGACTACTACTAAATTAAATTAGAAGACCCAAAAAGTTTAAAGGTTGGGTACGGGGGAACTAAGTAAGGGGTTTGTATGATTCTACGAGGGGTCCATGCGGGTGTTGTGCAGGATTCATAAGAGCTGTGGGTTCAGGGACTTTATGTGGTTTCGGAATTAGGTTTGTGCAGCTCAAGATTTGACGCTTGTATGGTTCAAGTGTAAGGCTATAGTAGTGGAACCACCAAAAATGCGGCATAAGGGTCCCACATGCAAGAAATGGAAGACCGAAATACTACAACTCGGGCCGGCGGAAAGTCCACACTCGGGACGACAGTCCGATCTGGGGTTCCGGCAAGGCTGTGGGAACCTTTCGTTTCGGGTTGAGACAGAACTCCAGAAACATCGACGGAACCCCCCGTGTCTCCGAACGCTCCACATCAACATCCAGGTTCCTCTCAACCAGTTCTCTTACTGTCGTCTTCACCATACACCCTAAAACCCAAGACCGTTCATAAACCGCTAGACCACTCGTCTTGGCTTTAGATCAAAGTTTGCGGCAATTGAGCTATGACCGGTTTTCCCGTGTCCTTGCCCAAACTATTAGAACCCCAGAAAGACTCTGCACACTAAGCCGGCAGACCCGAGCCCTGAACATGTAGTAAATGCCCAAAATCAAACACCTGGAACCCAAAACCCTGAACCTGAACCCTAGACCTCAACGCCAAACCCTCCATCCTTAGTTAACCCTAAACACGAAAGGCCCTGAACCTAAACCCCAAACCCCCACACCCCAGCCAGGCAAAAACGAAACAGAGCACCGTGGGTTCTCTGAACACCCGGCCGTTGCGGCACTCGCTGCAGCTGGATGCGGTGCTGCACTGCGTGCACTCGTCGGGGCAGGTCTCACAGACTCCACCTGAGGAGGACTTGGGTTTTATGGTTCGTCTGGTGAAATAATAAAGTAGCAGTAGTAGTAGTAGTAGTAGTAGTAGTAGTAGTAATAGTAGTAGTAGTAGTAGTAGTAGTAGTAGTAATAGTAGTAGTAGTAGTAGTAGTAGTAGTAGTAGTAATACGAGTACTAGTACTAGTACGAGTACGAGTAATTACTAGTACGAGTACAGTACGAGTACTAGTACTAGTAATAGCAGCAGCAGCAGGAGGAGTAGAAGTAGTAGAAGTAGCAGTAGTAGTGGAGATGGTGGTGATGGCAGTGGTGGCAGCAACAGTGGCAGTGGCGGAGTGGTAGTGGCTGGTGGAGGAGAAAGAGGAGAAGGAAGAGGAGGAGATGCAGTTGTGAACTGGTACCGCCTGAAACCCTCATTCAAGCAACACTTCCACCCAAGTCCCACCTCGTTTGATTATTTTGCATTAGCCTTTCGGAGCTATAAGACTCCAGCGGTCCGGTTTTCTAGCTATGCCGCATGGCTACTACATCGCATGCACAGGACTGAGTTTGCTGCACGATCCACGGGAGACGTGCGGTTTTTTAGGGGTTAGGGTTTAGGGTTTAGGGTTTAGGGTTTAGGGTTTAGGGTTTAGGGTCTGAAAACTCTGAACCCTGCATCCATACGCAACCTGCACGACGCACCTTGAACTTTCCGAGGGCGGGACCAACATCACGAGTCCTGTTCGGATAGTAGCCTGCAGTTTAGGTTATCAAGGGTTTAGGGCTTAATTTATAAAACTGGCCGAGGATTTATACATGCTTTTAGGGTTCGGGGTTGGCCTGCCATTCCGGCGTTTCTGTAGCAGTATTCAAGGTTCAGTCGGGGCACCAGGGACTTGCTCTACTGTGTTGCTTCATGAATATAAGTTACATAAGCAGGTTAGCATGGAAAGGCGGAAAAGTACATCTGGTTATCGTGGATCCTACATTCTACGTTCAGGGCGGGAGTTTGTAAAGGAACACATATCCAGCAGGCTCGATGGCATCTTGACTCCATGTGCGTACATGCTGTACTCCACATAAATGCGCTGAGACCGAACGACAGAAACTGCACCTTCGCATACCTTCGCCAAACCTGTCAGTACCTTCCAGTTCGCTTGACCCAGTTTGACGAGGGTTTTGAACTAAGTATATTCTACTAATAAATGGGGATTGCCGGAGCCATGGAATGTTGCCATATCGAACTCAAAACACCACGCCGCAAGATCGAGGTCAGTCGTCGAGCATCGAGGTGCTTGCGGAGAGCTTCATTGGATTCAAGGCTTAAACCCTAAACCCTAAACCCTAAACCCCTAAACCCTTAAACCCTAAACCCTAAACTCACACTGCCGATGCATCAAGATGGCACGTCGCCTTGCAGGGGTGCCGTTCGGCGCACCTTCTCGAATCAGGGGAGCATGCCTGCGATGATTACCCAGAGAGCCCAATACCCCTTAAATAAGGAATATACCTTAAATTGTAGGGGCCTTAATCTTATGATTTAAGCTATATTCCTTAATTAAGGGGTATTGGGCTCTCTGGGTGCCTGACAGGCAATCACGAGGGACGAGAGCGCACCATCTCCATAGGTTACTGTCTTGCCGTTGATGTGATGGGCACCCTCCCGGACACGGCCCCATATACTATGGTACCGCGCCGGATTCTGGCTGCCATGTTGTCCGACAGCACGTGCCGCGTCTTGAAATGTTCGGCCTCAGCGGCCTCACGGTGGGCAGCTGACTCTGACTGCCTGGCCGTAACATAGAGCCCGTGCGTGTATACAGACGCGCACACACAGAAACCACAGCGCAAGATCCCCCCGGCTCAAGTATGCTATCGCGAGCGACCAGGTACCTTTAAGCCGTTCAGAGCCTAGTCGAATGTGAGCCTGACAAATCATGAACAAAAACTGTCTGGATAACTTGATCTCCCAGACAAAAATGGGCAAAAGCAACGAACCTATCTCCCAAGTAGAGTCGATACTCGAACTGCTGTGGCCCTCAGTAAAGTCACTAGATTGGTTGGAGCGAGTTTCCTACCAAAGTATTCTGAGCCGGGTTAGTGAGGTTCCCAATTTCAACAGGCTAGGAGAACGAGGTGCGCTGTTCGGTTAATGTAGGGGCCTTGATAACTAGAATAGGGTTTTGGGGTATCTTCTACTACATCTATAATAAGGAACTCCAAAAATAGTATATGTAATTATTTAGGCCTCTATAGTAAGGCCTTAGGGCCATTCAGGGTCACCCTGCCCTGAGGAAAAATACAGTAAAACAACTAAAACGATCGTCTTCGTTCCAGGATCTCACAACCCGAAGCACCAGAACCGTATACATCCTCCACTCCTGACCCCTGTGCCCTGAACCCAAAAAACTGCGAAACAACCGCTGAAAGCTGGGCTCTTGAACCCCTGAACCCCTAAACAACCCCAAACCCCTGAACCCCGAAACCCTTGCATGTAGCAGAATACAAAGCTCAACCTATTTTCGAGCTCCTCAGTATGGAAACTTGAGGGAGGATCCGCATCAAGAGCCCAAAACCCGCCCTGGGCCCGCATAAACCCTAAGCTAGTAAGCACAAAGCCCCGCAGCTCTAGCCCCAGAGCCCTCTCATGCAGGGGTTTAAGTAATTACCAATACTATTTTGGGAGCTCCTTCTTATAATTATAGCATAATGGGACCCAAAACCCTATTCCAACTATTAAGGCCCCTATATTACTCCAAGAGCCTTCACGACCCAAGACCCGACAGAACCCCGAAAGCCAGAACTTAGGGTTTAGGGTTTAGGAAATGCCTGAGCCTAAACCCCTAAACCCTAAACCCTAAACCCTAAACCCTAAACCCTAAACCCCAAACCCCGAACCCTAAACCCCTAAACCTTGAACCGAAAGATCATGGGTCTTTGTAGGCAACTGGTAATCGGAGTTTAGACTAGCGATTTTGCGGCGACCCTGCCTCAGAGCTTTTTTACTTGTGTAGGAAGACCTCTGGGCCTAAACATAAGCCCTAAACCCGAAACCCCAAACCCTAAACCCCTAAACACCTAAATCCTAAACCACAAAAAAACAAGCCCTAGACCCGAAACCCCAAACCCTAAACTTGAAACCCTAGACCCTAACCCTAAACCCTGAGCACTAAACTTGAAATCCCAAACTACACCATAAACCCTAAACCCCACTTACTTCTCCAATAAGCCAAGGAAATAAAATGCTAAACTTTCAGATTACTACTAAACTATAAGAACCCAAAAAGTTTATAGGTTGGGTATTGGGGATGGGGAACCAAGCCCAAGCCCTAGACATCCACAGCTTGCCAAGACCAGGCCTGGTGGGCAGGTTGTCTCACAGGCCTGGTAGTGCGTGAGGAACGTCGAGAATTTGCCTCGGTCGGGGAACCTTTACCCTCTCAGCCCAAATGCCACTACAAAGTATGGTCTTTGGGCGGAAACGCCTTGAAAACAAAGTCCTTATGGAGCCTATCGGGTCAGGGGTTAGAGTTTTAGGGTTTAGGCAGCTTTCGAATTTAGAGTGTACAGGTGGTGGCAACAACCTACTGCTCAACTAAAGGGTATAGCTATACTTTACATTCTCTTTAGTTCTAATTCGGTCTCAACCTGCTGCCCGCTGCAATCTAGGTTCGCGGGGGTTTAGAACTGGGGTTTCGGGTTTAGCGTTTAGAGTTTAGGGGTAAGGTTTGTTTTTTTTTAGTGTGGGGTTAGGGTTTAGGGTTCAGGGGTTTGCAGGTTGGAGCTTCGGGGCTTCAGGATAGAATGGACATGTGCTGAGTGAGGTAAACCTCAACCCTCCTAAGCCTAAGCCCGAAGCCCCGAAGGACTTGGAAGAAACCCTAAACCACAAACCCTTACACTCTAAACCCCTAAGGACTTGCAATAAACCCTAAACCCCTATACCCTAAACCCCTAAACCCCTAAAGCCTAAAGCTTTGTAGTGACCCTTACAGATCCCTGAAAGGCCCCATAAGCCCCACTGCACCAAAGCAAGGCAAGTTGCACTCCGTGCAGTGGTCTTCCGCCTCGCACTTGTTGCACGTCGGAGGGCAGATCTGCAGCACAACAGGAGATGCAAATCCCTTAAAAGCTCCCTGGTATGGGGTTCTAGAAGGGTTCTAAAGGGTTTTGTTCGGGGTTTGGTGTGTTTGAGCTTTGCATAAAGGTAAAGAACTCTATAAGAGGCTTAAATAGGTTTTCGTTCGGGATTGGGTGGGTTTGTGCTTTAACATACAGGTAAGTAGGTTCTAGTTCTTGCGGGAGTCAAAGGGTTCGTGCAGGGACAGACAAATTGAGATAAGGCATGGGCTGCACTCACCCCAATTGGAGTGGCCACGCCTATATATAAGCTTTGCGAAACGATGATACTGACCCGAATCATAAGTCTGAAGCATGGACCCCTAACCTCAAAGCCCCTTTATTACTGTCAGGAGGAGCCCCAAAACCCTATTCTAATTATTAAGGCCCCTACATCAAGGAGTGCTAGAGTCACGTGGCTGCACGTCGTGAGGAGATCCTGGGTTGAGGATTTTGGTTCCAAGGCTGTGTTCTTTTTGGGGGTTAGGGCCGAGGGTTTAGGGATTAGGGTTTAGGCTTTGAGGTTAGGGTTTAGGGTGTAGGGGCCTTAATAATTGAATAGGGTTTTTGGGCTCCTCCTAACAGTAATAAAGGGCTCCTCACAAGGGTTCTATAAGGGCTACGATCAGGGTTTAGGGTGTAGGGGCCTTAATAACTGGAATAGGGTTTTGGACTCCTCTATAGCATCAGTATAAAAAGGAACCCCAACAGTGATGTTGGTAACCATTTAGGCTTCTATACTAGACTTGATGAGACACAGTGTTAAAATCTAGCTACCACACCCTGACAAGCTTGGTTCCGTAAGCCTCAGCTCGGATCCTTAAGGCATCAACCCCACGTAGCCCGACCTTGCAAACGCGGCCCAGGTCGTCGACACCCTGCTCGTAGTAGCCTGCGGAGCTACAAGCTTTTGGAATTTTGGGGTTCGCAGCGATTCTTATCCCTAAGGCTCTGGGGCTCATATCTTAAGGCAGCTTGGCCCAAAGACCATCCTATGCTAGGCTTCTGGGGTATTTGAGCGCTATGACTGTATGTAGGGTTAGGGTAGGATTTAGGGCCTGGACTGGTGTTACACAGACTTCTTACGTGAAACAAGGACGGGTTGTTACTCGGGGTTTACCTGCGAAGGAGGGGAGGCTAGGGGTGTTCTTCGAAGAATATGCAAGGGGAGGGCGAAGAGGAACAACCCCCCTTGTTGAAAAGGTAGGAATTCCTGGGGGTGTTATCGCGCTGGTAGGGATACTTACGACCTGGAGATAAAACGGTAGACGACCCTATACCTAAACCCTGAACCCTACACTGCTTAAAACGCTGACCGCAAACCCTAATTTCCCATTCCTGACTCCTAACAGGCCTCAATGGGATTCCACCAGGCAAGCCTTAATTTAATTTTTAAGCTCGAACTCAGCATGCAAAGCCGACATGCCCTCAGTCGCGTGGATTTCGGATCTCTTTGCCTACCAACCCAACAGAAAATCCAATCGGACACTTAAACCGAACGGGACATCCCAAAACTCTATCTATCTATCTATCTATCTACCTAACTATCTACCTACCTATCTATCTCCTATCTATCTGCCTGTCTATCTACCTACCTATCTACCTATCTAGTATATACTATATACACGTAGATACATACCCTTAAAGCTCAAACCTAACCGCTAGACCACAGAGTCTTGAGACCCTCGGAATTCTGGGGCCAACACCATCTTGACACTCCTCTTCGCACCAGTGGTAGTGCGACAGGTACGTGGAGTTGCGGCACTCCTCGCAGGTCTGAGGAGAAGCTACGAATCTGTGGATAGCATACGTGAGCAACCATGAAGGTCGTGCGTCTGGTGCATGCTTGAAGAGTTTTGGACTTCAGGGTTTAAAGTTCCCTAAGGGTCCATGTACTCAAATATTGTGTACATTGGCCTTAAAGTAGTCCCTATACAGGTACATTGGGACCAAAGTATATAATATTTGGGCACATGGACCCTTAGGGGTTTACAGTTCAAAGCCCTGTCATGTCCAAAGTCCGACTCGCAAAAGCCCCGTTTTATATATCCACAACATGCATGATCGCCTACAAAGCCCCAGAACTCGATAATACCAGAGACCCTGCCCAAAAATCTCTAATATGCCGATAATACCAGAGGCCCCCCAACAAATCTCTAATATGGCTTCAAAAGTTATAAAGTCCGGTAATAGCAAAGCCCAAACAAGGGAAATGGATGTTGGAAGCATATAAATGGATGTCGCAGATGGACGTTAAACGAACAGCCATCAACACTCTGATCTGGAAATGGGGTGTGAACTGAATGTCGTGACGGTGCTCTTTTCGTTCTGCGCCTGTCGGTGCAAGCTGGATCTCTGCGCATTGCGCGTGGGATGCACAGGCTCTGGACTCTGGACTGCCTAAGCGGAGAAAGGAGAAGCTAGAGTCTAGAGTCTAGGGCAGCTAGGTGTCTAGCTAAGGACCCCTGCAAGCTTTATATATTCATGCATTTGCAAGTCCTGAAACCTGGCACCGAAAGGGATTGTCGCTGTGCAAAACTGCAAAACAAGCCGACAGTGTAATGTCGGCGGCGGCTTGGAAGGCTACGAAGTCAGCTTGGCTGTTCACTCCTCCAACTGGTTTTCAAGTAACAGCTCGGCACAGCGCAAGAGCTTGCCCTGGATGTCCTCTTTGATGATGCCGCTCTTGCCGCCGTTGACGTCGGCAATCTGCCCACTGATGGAAATCCTGAAGAGGTTGTCCTCCTCAGTAGTGCGTGCGTCGCCTCGCTTCCGCAACCGCAGAATCAGCACCGTCTCCACGTAGATTCCCCGCGCCGTGCGCACTACCTCCGCGATCTCTTCAATGGACTGCTTCAAGCTCAGGACTGTCTCGCCCGTGGCCTCTGCTATGTGCTGCTGGATCTTGTCGATGAGTGTGGAGAGGCCGGTGATGCGCTCCATGTCCTGGACAGGATGCACAGTCTTGGCAGCACAAATTATATAGGTTGCCACGACAATATTAATATTCTCTCGAGGCTTACTTACACGTCGATGCGGGAATGACTGAGCTGGGCATGGAGGATTGCCGCAGCCGAAATCCGAAACATTGTTGCCTAGCTGGGCCTAGCTACAACCGGCTACAGCAGCCAGGCACTGCCGTATCTCGCAACCGCGCAGCAACAGGTAGTTAGTTAGCTAGTTAGTTAGTTAGTTAGTTAGTTAGTTAGTTAGTTAGATACTTAGTTAGCTAGTTAGTTCGTCCGTTAGTTAGTTAGTTAGTTAGTTAGTTAGTTAGTTAGTTCGTTGCTACGCATTGCCACCATCTGCAAGCAAAGCCCTGACAGTTAGGACTGAGAGAACTTTACACACTCTCTGCGTCGGTGCTGTCTTCGGTTTCACGACTCCAACTCGTGGGGCTACAGCGCGACTACAATCCAACAGCAAAAGCACAAACTGCATCTGAGGGCACTGGTCACACTACCCACGTCCTTCTCGGACTCCTCAAGCAGCAACTCGAAAGCCTGGCCTTTTTTGGACATTGACTTCATTGCCTTGTACCCTTTCTCCAAGATCTCGTCCAAGGGCGTCTCATCCGTAAAGCCATGTTTCCAGTTGGGCGGGCCAACCAATGGCTCGACGACTTTCCACAAGGAGTCGAACATTTCGCTCGACTTCTCTTTGTTTACGACGCAATGGTGGGAGATGCAATCCGAGAGCATGTTGCTAGTGTAGTACGGGCTGAAGAGATCGTACGTCTGCAGCTCCACCAGCTCAAGCAGGATGAGGTAGTTCGCTGCCTCGTCCTCGAACGCATCCTTCTGTTGCTCCTGGAGGAAGGAGGCTTTTTCCACCGCAAACTCATGCAAGGCCTTGCGCTTGCTCTGAAGAACATTGGAGCTCGTCACGACGCTGGTCAAGAGCACAAGGTTGGTGTCCTTCTGGACACGCTCCTGCGCGGACGTGCCCACACCATCAAGCTTGCTGAGGTCCTGCACAAAGTGTGCGCCTGCCCTGAGCACGTCGGCGTGCAACAAGAAGCACTTGTGCCCCAAGCTGCCTTGCTCGTGCACCATGGACACCAATTTCTGCAAGGGCATCAACTTCTTCGTGACATGCAGCTGTGTCAGCTGCAACTGCTTGTCCTTCACCTGCACGCAAAACACATGACTCACACTCACAAACACAGGCACGCACAGACACACACACACACAGCCACACGTAAGACACACACGCATACACACACACACACACACACTCCGGAATGCTTCCCACAGCTTAAAAACGTAAACGATTTCAAAAGTACAGCTAGCAGCTATCAGCTAGCAGTTCACAACTAGCAACAAACGTCAAGGGACAGCTAGTGTCGAGTCTCGGTAGGGCCTGCATGGCCCCCTTTACATTATGCGAAGTCCAGAAAATAGTTTGTATTGCGTCCCTCACAGCATCAAGCATGGCAGCAACGGCTCTGGAAGCCCACATCCAGGAATCATGGGGGCATGGGTCTTGTCGTGAACAACATGCGTATCATGCGTCTCAAAACACCGAAACGTCCTCCTGGGTAATGCGTGGCACACTTGTGCATCCTGACACGCAACATGGAAACAAGACACCGCAAGCACGGATTCAGTGCCCTCAGCTGTCGACTGAGTCTACTGAGTTTACTGGTGAATCTGATCTTGTAAGCATGCTTCAAGCACACCGGCTCGACCCGTGAGACTCGCCGTGAGGGAGGAATGCTTCTGGAAAATCTAGCTAGCAGCTAGCAGCTTGTAGCAGAACACGACAGCCCGCGGTGACGTGGTGCCTCCTGAAACACGGTCCGCAGCGCCGCCAGCACCAACGAGTTCAAGGCTTTGGCCTGCGCCGGGTTGGAGATTGGCTCCTGAGTGTTGCAGCGGCCCAGCACAGCATCGAGCTTGGCCAAATCCACTCGGTCTGTGCGCTGAGCTTCCTGGGCTAGATTGAAAAGGTCTGCCGAGGCCAGCGTCTTGTAGTGCTTCGTCAGGAACTTCTTCATGTCGCTCATGAGGTCCATAATGCCTGGCTCGTCTGCAAAAGCATGGAGTCCTTCCAGCACTGTCTCAAAGTCAAGGGAGGTCGCGCCTACGTTCCGCAGCTCGTCGCTGGTTTTCCCCAGGCTGTTCGTCGCCAGGCTACGCAGCATGCCCAAGAGCTTTTCGCTTGCGGATGCGAGCTCCTGCTTCCGGCAGCCCTGACGCAAGTCCTTGTACTCGGCAACCAGTTCTTGGACTTTGGTCACGGCAGGCTGCGCTGTGTTGGACGCGGCACTCTGGAGGGCTTCCACCAGACGGTCCAAGCGTGGACGAAGGAGACTTGCGGAGGATGACTTTGTTAGGACTTCCTTCATCATGGCACTCCAGGTCTCATTGGAGGACAGCAAGGAGTAGAGGTCCTTTTCCACTGTCATCGGGCCTCTCTTCTGCGCGAGGTTCAGCCACGCCAAAGCATCCTTTCCGGAGTGCTCGCCTGCCAATGTCTCCATGGGTAGCAGCACATGGTTGATGAAGCGAAGTAGGTGCTGCAAGCGGTGGAAACCCTGTGCTAGCAGCTGGTACGCCTCATCCAAGCCGGTGCCTTCTTGGAGGCTCAACGCCTGCACTTGGTCCTTCGCTTCTTCCAAGCTCTCGCCGTAGACCCGCAGCACCACTCGCAGGTGGTCCTTGTAGCCCGTCACATCTGCGAGCATGGCACGGAATCCGGGGCAAAGCCAGATGTCCATGAGCATGTCAGCAATGTCCTGCTGCATCCGAAACGCACGGGAGAGGGAGAGGGAGAGGGAGANNGAGAGAGAGAGAGGGAGAGTGAGCGAGAGAGAGAGAGAGAGAAAAGAAGAAGGGAGAAGAGAGAGAAGAAATAGTTAGTATTAGTAGAGAGAGAGAGAGAGAGACACAAATCAAAGAGAGGGAGAGAGAGAGAGAGAGAGAGAGATGCGACAGATAAAGTGAGGGAAAAAGAAGGAAGGGCAAGAAGGAAAAAGAGTGGCTCAGGATGTGTACAAGGCGACACTCACAGTGGATTAGCCAGGACCATTCAATGGAACCGGACGACAGCAACCCAAGCCCAGGCCAAGATTCCAGCGCAGGAACATCGCACACATGGAGTTCAGAAAGCAGGCCGCTGGGGACATACGCATGCATCATGTAGCCTGACTCAAAACTCGAACCATTGAAGCGTTGAAGCACCCTCTGCTACTTTGCGAGGCCAAAGGCAATCATCCAGAAGGAAATCAGCCACACGACCCACGAAGTCCATACCTACAGTCACTTCACGCAGACCAAGAGCACTTCAGGCCAGTGGACTCACTCCCAGACAAGCTCAGACCTTATAGGAATACATACCAGCGGTTCACAGAGGTTCACTCACACGCAACAACCAGTACAGCAGACTGGGCATCAGTGGTTCAAGCTCATTGCCAAAACTAAAAACGCGGCTATCCACTCCAGGACACAGAACATGGCAGGCCTGGCCCCAGGCCTGATTATGATTATGAACAACACAAGCCCGATCCAGCCACAGGGCCCCATCAAGAAATCCTCAATCCTCGGTTCCTTGTCATATTGTGCTCTCGAATATCATGCTTGCTGCTTGCTTGCTCTTGTTTACGACTGCCCGCCAACGACCGCAAGACGCACGCAAACCCAACTGCTGCTACGGCGGCTATACGGCTTTACAATCACGGACCCTGTTCAGAGAGCCCAACGTAGGAAGGCGCATGTGCCACAGTACCGCATACTCAACCTCCATGCGCATGGGGAACCGTCAGTCCTTGCAACACTGGGCGGCCGCCCCGCGAAAGACCTCAATCTTTGTCGTGGCCTCCTCCTCGTCCGCGGCAGCGGTCGCAGCCTCGTCGAGGGCCTCCAACTTGGACTGCGCTGAGTTCAGCAAGCCCGTGTTCGTGGTACTGTCCACGTCCCAGTGACCCTTGTCACTCAATGGCAGGTGCATCTTCACAATGCACCCAACCAGCTCCTCCACTTGACTGCATTCTTCCGTCTCAGCAACCTGCTGGAAGACTTTGCGAATGTAGCACGAGTTGAGGCGGCATGCCAGAGCCGGCGGGAAAGAGTCACTGCACTCCTTCAGCTTGCTGATGTAGTCGTCTAGGACCTCCTCGTCCAAAGTGTAGAGCTCAACACATGTGACCAGCTTCTGCATGGCCTGGCACTGGAGATACCTCTTCCTCAGCATTCTCGACTCTGAGCTGTCCTTGTCCCTCTTCTCCATGTCGTCGAGTATCTTCTTAGCCTGGCAAAACAAAGTGCCAAGGACATCTCAATGGAAGGCCCGCAAAAGATTCGCTGCTGACTGCCAGAACGATAACCCCGGGGCTCTCTGTCGGACACATT